ATTTTATACAATGTTTTATATTTTAAATGCTTAATAAATGTGAATTACTGGTGTCATAGGGAAGGGAGTGATGGAAGGGAAGGAATCTAGGATGACTCCAAGATTCTAAGTAGAAGAATTAATAGATATTGGTGCCATTAACCAAGACTTAGAATATAAGAAGAGGGAAAGTTTGTGGGGAGAAGATGATCAGTTTTAAGTTAACATGGTGAGTTTGAATTGACTATAAAACAAACACCCTGATGGAGCAATTCAGTAGTCACTGAAAGTGGACAGCTGAGAGCTATGTACATTTGGGCATCATGCAAGTACTATATAATTTTTAAAGCCACAGTAACAATCAAGATTACCCAGGGGAAGGAAAGGAAGTAAGAAGGCTGAACACAAAACACTCAAAGTTAAGGAAGAAAACTTAAGGCGGAGGTGATCCAAGAAGACATGACATCATAGAACTGTGACAGAAAAAAAGTTTCAGAAAGAAATGAGCATTCAGGAGAATCTAATGAACTTGACAGTTGAAAGAACCTTTATCAGAGCTGGTTCTGATGAAAGGTGAATGATGAGATCTTGGAATGTGAGGGTGGGTGGTGAGCTTATGGGTATCTATTTGTTATTCTTAAGCTATATCTGTGCATTCTATGTCTGTTAACTCCTATGTGTATAATTTGCAACAAAACGGTTGTATTATTTTTAAGCATTTTCATCTTTATTCTCTTTTTATTAGTGTGTGTTTGTAGTACACAGTAGAGATGTAGATTTTGAGGAATTGGTACACGACTAGAATTTATTGATTGATTGATTGATTGATTGATACTGGGGATCGAACTCCAGAACTTGCACTTGCCAGGCAGGCATAGCAGCACCACTGAGCTAAATCCCTGGCAATGACTACATATTTGATGTACCTCTTCCTTATCTCATCCCTCCTCCTGCTCTGCTTCTCCATCTCCAGAAAGTCTGCCTACTTATTTCCTACTATCTCTCCTTTATTTTACTCCTTTATTGACTTATATTTTAGGTTTCTCATATAAAGGAAATCACACAATTTAATTTTCTGTGTCAATTTATTTCACTTAGCATTATGGTCTCCAGTTCCATCCATTTTCCTGCAGATAAAATGATTTCATTCTATTCATGGCTAACTAATATTCCATTTTATATTCATACCACATTTTCTTTATCCATTCATCTGTTGGTTGATAGGCACCTAGGCTGTTTCTAGGGCTTAGCTATTGTGAATTGTGGATATGCATACATCACTATAGTATGATGTCTTTAATTCTTTTGTGAATATAGCCAGGAGAAGTATAGTTGGGCCAAATGGGATGTCTATTTTTTTTTGAGGACTTACCATACTGATTTCCATAGTGATTATACTAGTTTATAACCACCAACAATACAGAAGTGTTCCTGTTTTCCCCACCTTCTCACCAGCATTTGTTGTTTTAGTGGTCTAGGTGATAGCCATTCTGACTGATATAACATGAAATCTTAGAGTTGTTTTGATTTGCATTTGCCTAATGGCTGGGTAAAGATGTTGAATTTCTTTTTCGTGAACTTATTGGCCATTTTCTCCTTTTGAGAAATATCTGTTCATTTCATTTGCCCATTTTTTGATTGGGTCATTTGGTATTTGAGGCCTAATTTACTTTTTGTTTTGAGTTCTTCGTGTAATTTAGGTATTAGCCTTCTCTCAGAAGAATAGCTGGCAAAATTTTCTCCCATTATGTAGATTGCCTTTTTACTCAGTTGATTGTTTCTTTTGCTGTGTAAAAGCTTTATAATTCGAGGTAACCCTATTTGTTGATTCCTGATATTATTTCCTGTGCTATTACAGATATATTTAGGAAGTTCTTGCTTGTTCGTGTGGCTTTAAGTGTTTTCCATATATTATCTTCAACAGTTTCAGTTGATAAGTTAAAAAAAAAGAAATGGTTATTTTAGGAGGGATGGTATGAAAAGAGCAAGAATAAAAGGTCCTTTGAAGATGTTGGCCATTATGTGAAATAGAGAAATAAAGACTAGGTAGAGAAGGGGTAGATAGGACAGGAAGGACTGAAGGCCTTAGCTGTTTGTTGGTCTTACCAGAAGAAGCTGGTGGATAAGAAAAGACTGAGAGTGAAAGCAAACCTGTGGGATGTCGATGGAACTAGATCCCAGGATAAAGGAATACTCAAGATGGAAAGTACCTGGGACTTCAGTCTGGCCAGAGAGAAGAAAGGGGGTTGGCCGTGAATACCAACAGATTCATCCTCGAAGAACATTGAGACCCAAAACCCTCAATATTTTTCAGTGATTTTAGAGGGAAGGTCACCTGTTATGAGAGGGTGAGACCCAAAGTGAGTCTCAAAGAAAGTCATAAAATGTAGGGATACTGTCTGAGGGCAGACTGGAAGCAAGTGCAAGTACTTCCCTAGCCCAGTGGTGGCAAATCTATGTGCTGCAGTGGGCACACAGAGCCCTCCCTCTCTGTCGGCACCCCAGCAGCCAAGCCTCAGACATTTAGGTCTAATTGCAGTGTCGATACTTTGCAGTATATAAGTGGGTTTGGGGTTGCAGTTTGGGTACTTGGTTTCTGAAAGGTGTCTCATCTCTTCTTGGCCTTTTGGCTAAGATCAAGTATAAAAGGTTTGCCATCATCACCCTCCCTACCCATCATGGTCCAAAACTCAAGAAAATCAGGCTTTCAAATCTATACCTTCACCATTGGACATAGCTATTGGTTCTTTGGCAGCCCAGGTGTAAGATCCCAGAAGCCAGAAAGAGAGCCTGATCCCAAATTGGAGATTTTAAGGGGATTTATAGTAGGCCTAAGAATGATTCCCACCATGTGAAAAGCTCTTGATGAGCCAACTAAGATGTCTGTTAGGTGGTTAGCACTGGATATTAGACTTCAAGAACAATTTAGTGTGCTAGTGTTCTGAGTGGAAGAATAGGGCTGAGAAATACCATGGAAAGAGGAAACTCAGAACATACTGGGAAGAACCAAGATTCTAATTCTTCAAGGCTAACATCCAAAGATCAGAGTTAAAGACAAGACTATGGGGCAGGAATGTAGCTCATGGTACTATCATTTATATTTTAATGAACTTTCCATTTCATTTATTCCTCAGTACCTGGAAGACACACAGAAATCATATTTCGTTGTTTGATGATTTTTGTAACAGCCAGACACAAAATGAATATATATATGGCATACTGATATGCAGATAGCATTATAAAATAATTTGTGCAACATTAACATGAGCATATTGTGATTGTATTACAAGTTTGATGTTTAGTCACAAATAGTTTGTATTTATCAATTTTGGACCTTAAGGACACAGTCTAAATTGTGCAAACCAAAGAATAATTGCAAAGGCAGCTACTGAGTGGCTGGTGAAGAATAGGATGGCCTTTGGGACACATCAAACAGTCTTCATGGGAGGAAAAGAAAAATCAGTTCAAGTGCTTGTTAACTGATTAACTTTCTCTGCAAAGATACCAGGCCACTTACCGCAAACACATACCTATCCTAGCCAGTAATTTAAATGAAAGAGAAAAATCAGAAATCTTATAGTGGAAAAAAAAAGAAATGGTGCCAACGGAAAGCCAAGTGTTAGGAGGCACAAGGTTGAAAGCTGAAGAAAACCCATTGTGCCTTCAAAACTTTCTGGGTAGCAAAGGTCTAGGAAAGATCTGACCAGTTCCTGGAGAACATGGCGTACTCTCCTGAGAATGAGTGGGATTCAACTCTCTGGACATAGATTCTGTTGTGACACAGATGTGGCAGCTGTGCTTAGCAAGTCCCCCAGCTAAGCACTGGTGGATACCTGAGGACTAAGTGGTGGAGGAGAGAGAGACATAGATAGTCAGTAGATCCTCTGCTGTCCATGGAAACCCTTGGTAACTGCAGATGAGAGAAGAGAAACCTTGAAAACTATGTGCTTAGCTCTCCTGCTGCCTACAGTGTGTGTTTCATGATGGAGGAGAAATGATGTTATCTCCTGGAGTGACCTTGAGCATATTTGTCCCCCTTCCATCTCTGTTGGTTCTGTACCATCTGAGGCTCTTGGGAGGAGAGTAACTAAAGAAAGAAGGCACAAAACCATTGATTCATTACTAGTGAAATCCATTTTCAGCCCACCACCTACCAGAAGGAATGAGGACAGATGTCCTCCCTGCAAGAGAGAGAATACCTCATTCTTGTTAAAATGAACCAGCTACTATGTCAATGCTTGCTTAGGTTTGGAAATGGAAGCCAGCCAAGGAACAGGTTCAGAACCTGTATGTGAACTCCACATTGACTTTCTGATCACCAGAAGTCATTTTAATCTCATCATCAGTTATGGATGGCAACTATCTTCCAGGAGGTGAAACCAAAGGAGAATACTAGAAGTGGATAACACAGTCCCTCCCTCCTCTCAATTTAGTGACAGTGTACGCCAAAAAGCATATGACAAATTATTGCACATGTAATTCAAGTTATATTCTTATAAAATCTGTGGTTTATAAAAATTGGCATCATTCTCTCTTTTTTCTCATGCACATAGTATATTTTTATATTTAGCCATGAATGACATTGCTATATGGAACTTACTAGGAACTCATTTATCTCTAAGTCTCTAGTAAAGAAACCTAAAATTAAAGTTCTCCATACATCCCTCCAGAGACTCTTACAACTTTAGTGGAATCCAGTCCAAGCCTCCTTTGTATGGCAGTTTCCACAGAGTTTTTGCACTGAACTGTTCCTTTACTCAAGGTCTTAAATGAAGTGAAAATAGGACAATCTTTTCTTTTTGAGCTCTAAAAGGAACCTGGCAATAGCCATGCAATCAAGAATTGGTCAAACTCAAATTAGGAAAACAAATGATAAAAGTGGGCTTCCATTTTATTCTTTATCGATTCTTGCCCTTTCCATACCTCATCTAAGTATGTGTGTGTAGCCACCTGACATTCTACTGACTCTGAATCTTCTCTGTATCACAGTATTGTTTTTATCTCTTCTCCCCTACCCCCAGGAGATGACCTGGCTTCCACCACTTTCTGCTATTCAAGCACCAGGCAAAGTGGAACAAAGCAAATTTGCATTTCCCAATAAGGTAAGCTCTTGCGCCTCTCAGGGGGATATGCTGTACTCATGTGGGCATCTTCAGGGACAGTGGATTGACATTAGGTTGTCTTTTGCCATGTAAATATCCCTACAGAGGCACATCAATCTGGTCTTCAACCGTTTGCAGGCTTGTGTTTATTATGCATCAAAAGAGGAGAATCAGGCTTGCCGTCTTACTTACCTACATTTCCATAGTCTGAAAAATGTGACACTTGTTATAATTGTCTTTATCAAAAACATTTGGAAGGTTGAAATCCATCTTACAATCATTTTTTACACTCGATAGAATCGTATGTCCTGTTTTGCTTTCTGAAAGCTATTATTAAATTAATGATATATGTTAAAATGAATGTCTTAGAATTCAAGATGTGCTATTCAATTTCTCTTACATATATTTTTAAAGTTTAAAATGTTTTCTGGGACTTACAAAAAGATTGCTATATTTTCTAAGAAAAAGCACAGAAAAAGATCAGCCCTAAAATATATTTAAATAATGAATATAATAGGCATTTATTTTTAATATCTGTAACCGTTAGACTGACATATAATTACATATTCATTATTGAAGATCAAATTGTGCAAGAATTTGAAAAGAAAAAACACCCTGATGCTTCTAGCCATAATTTCCCAACATAGATGTTATTAACAAGAGTTTGGTGTATACCTTTTCAGTCATTTTCCTGGTGCATCATAGACACATATGTTTATAGACATTTTTTTCATTTCTTAAATTGTATGGTACTAAAAGCATTTTTATAAGAGTTACTTTTTTCCCAGATAGCCATGATACATAAACATCATTGCTAAATGTCAATATCACAACCTTCTAGAGTGAATTATTGAAATAATTATTAATTACTGTAATCACAATGGTAAATTCCATTCTAGGAATTGATTTTTATTTTCATTAAGAAAGGGTATTTGGAGATCTTTCCATGTGAATCTAGAGATTTTCCTCGTCCCTCTAAACAACAAAATGTTGTGCATATGGATTTGCTGTAATTTATTTAATCAAGCTCCTTGTGATGAACACAGAGATTGTAATTTGTCATTACAAATACTGTCCCCACCAATGCTCCGTGAAAGTGCTCCTTTGTATGCCTGCTATGGACTGTCCTCTGTAAGGACAAAAACAACAGGAATTATGGCACCAAAGCTATTGGAAACCACATTTACACTTGGCTGTGTTTCAAGAGTCCTTTTTATACATCTTAACCAATGATTAATATTATCTGGTATTTTATCACTGTGTCTATATGATGGATGAAAAGTTGATATTTCATTGTTTTAATTTGCATTTCCCCAATTACTTCTAAGCTCAGGCGGTGACTGTTTTTTCCATTGTAAATTGCCCATTCATATCCATTGCCACTTCATAAAAATGATTTGTAGGAACTTCTTATATCTTATTCATTTTTCTGTTATATATAATGTAACCATTTTTGTAACCTTATTTATGTGCCTTTTATACTAGAAAAGTGTTTAATCTTAATGTGAAAGCAAAAAGATCTGCCCTGCTCTCACATTCTAACAACAGTCTCTATTTTATTTTAATTCTTTTACAGCTTTTAGGGTTTTTAAAAAAAATTTGTGTGTGTGTGTGTGGATGGCATGACATAGGATTCTAGTCAGGCTTTTCAATGGTTAGTAAATTAATATAAGTATCAGAGTATTTGTCATTTTCTCACTCTAGTTTCAAATAGCCTCTGTATCAACAGCTTAATTTCTCAATTTGTTTCAGGACTCTTTTGTTTTTACAATATATCTAATTCTTTCTGAATACCTTGCTTAAATCAGAGGTTGATGAACATTTTTAGTAAAATCCCACATAGTAAACAGTTCAGGCTTTGCAGACACTACCTAATGAAAGAATGTGTCATCTCCTAAGTTAAGCCTCAAGTTCCCAGGCTTCTCGCCCTTTCAATACAGACAAATTTAGTTGAATAGTTTCTGCAGTATGTATTTCCAGTGGCATCTTGCCACATTTAGAATAGCATGAAGAATTTTTACAATCTTTGCACGTAATCTGACCAAAATAATGGCTGACTACTGAATCCACCCAAATAAGTATAGTGTTTTTATCGTAGATGCATATCCTTAGTTGACATAGTTGGTCACATATGAAAGCACATTTTTCTACAACTTTTCTAAAATGTATTTTGTTCATTTCAAATAAATACTTAAGCATAAGCAATAGCTTAATTCCGAGGTGAAACAGATTTTAAGTCATTAATGCAAAAATTTAATTTTATAGCTTTAGTGGGATGTAACTAACAAATAAAAATCAGGTATATTTAAGTTGAGCAGCATCATGTTTTTATATTTGTATATACTGAGAAATAATCATCACAATCAAGGTAATTAATATATCCATCACCTCACATAATTTCCATTTTCTTCTATTCTTATTTCACAATAAGAAACTACCCAGGCTGGGGATTTAGCTCAGTGGTTCCACTGCCTGCCTTGCAAGCACAAGGACCCAAGTTTAATACCTGGTTCAAAAAAAAAAAAAAAAAAAAAAAAAAAAGAAGGAAAGAAAGAAACTACCTTCTCAGCACATTTCTAAAGATCTGTCCTCTTAGCAAATTTCAAATGTGCATTACAACAAACAATATAATATTGTTAACTACAGTCCCATTTCTGATATATCATATATGTATATTATTTTTCACGTAGCATATGTATCAGAGACCTTTTGCTAAGTGAAATAAACCAGACACAAAACACAAATACTGCATGATCTTACCTATCAGTAGAATCCCAAATAGTCAAACTCATAGAAGCAGAGAGTACAGTGCTATTTGTGGGGCTGCTGAATGGAGAGGGTAGTAAGAAACACTGGGTCAAAGGATAAAAAGTTACATTTATGCAAAATAAGTAAGATCTGGAAATCAAATATACAGAAACCCAACTATACGCTATTTTCTGTTTGTTTCTTTTTTGTAAGAGAAAATCATTTTTATCTGCTAAATAGTTTGAACACAATGATACAACAATTTTTATTTGTTAATATTCTATTAACCATTATTATTCTCTTATTTGATAATGAAATCTTGTTTTATTTTTTCATAAAATAAAAAATAAGTATAAATGGAAAAAAGGTGGATTTTTAGGGCTACTTAGGAGTTGCATGGAACTACTCTAGGTCTTTTTGCCTTGCCCAAGAAAAAAAGAAAAAGTGATTTCACAAAGTTTAAGAACTTTACATGATTTTGATAATGCATTTTTTTTCCAAAAAGCTCACTATAAGTACTGATCATTTCTCTTATGCAAATGAAATAAGCCTACCTTAGTTTCCTGTTTCTGCTGTAACAAACACACACACTTGGTGACTTGAGACACTATAGGATTGCCTCCCCACCCTGGAGTTGGAGATCCGAAAGTTCACTGAGATTCAAGGCGTGGGTGTCCCCTTCCCGGGCTCCAGGGTAGAATTTGTTTCTTGCCTTTCCCACTTTCTAGAGGCTTCCTTACTCATGGTTTACATCACTCTGACCTCTACTTCCTTTGCCACACCTTCTATGGATCTTAAAAAGGGAAAGCCTCCTTTCCCTTTTTAAATCCCCTTGTGATTATGCTGAGATTATTTGAATAATGCCCAACTTCAAAATCTTTAACATAGAACCTCTTTTTCCATGAGAAATAACATTGGCGCTCAGACATCTTTGAAGTACCATTATTCTGCCTATTACAAAGATGTATTAATTTTGACACAGAGTGCAACTTATTTATTTATTTAGTTATTGGCAGTGTAGGGGATCGAACCCATGACCTCTTCATGGTAAGCAAGCACTCTCCACTGAACTATATCCCAGCCCTTTAGTGTACCCCTTTTAGCCTTTATCTCAACAAATTAGCGTTCTGAAAGGTGGACACTCAGTTAATTCATTACACTATTAATGTTTGAGAGTATTATAATTGCTCATGTGTTGGACTAGAATTGTTTAAGGAATTTGAGAAGCAAAATCTCCAAAATGACTGACTAATAATCAATGAAATTAAGGCCTTAGTAGGCGTTACTACTTGATCTCACAAAGAAAAGTAGATTTTATTGTGCATTCTGAGTTACCAGTGCCACTGAATTAATTAGCCAAACACTTCTGAGAATTTTTTCATTTTGTCCAAGTATTGAAGAACATAATATATAGTAAAGTCAATTGATAATGAATTTGGCTGTTTTGTTTTTTTTTTCCTATTCTTCACGGACTTGATTTAGAGTCACAATTCCCTCGACAAACATTACTAGGCATTCTTCAAATCTCAGAAGTAATTGAATTTGGTAAAGCAAAGACTGCATGTCTCCTTGAAATTGGCTGCCATTATCAGGAATTTCAAGCAAGAGAGAAGAAAATGGATTTGCTTTGCCCTTTTCCCTTTCATTTTGCTGCAATCTCATAAGTTTTGAAATGCAAATAAAGAACTCAAAAGTGTAGAATGTTTTCCATTTCCAAGGAGTATTTCTAAACTCAGTGGTATTTCACCCATGGCCATGGGTGCTGAGGCTGGTGCTTAAGACCTGGACTGAAACTATTCCTGCTGATTGATTTTAGCATCATTACAGAAGTGAGAATCCCTCCCTTTCTCTGTATACACTTGAATGTGAGGAAAAGCCAGAAAGTGTGAAGGGAAATGCTTTGAAGTCAGAAGGTTTGTCATATATCTCTTTCCTTGAGTTGCTAGCATGCTTCCAACAAAATATGTGCACTCAAACTTTCATGTTTGGCATTACCTCAAAATAAATATTTAAATCAATTATAAATTATGTCACTTCAACTGTTTTGAGCTCTCTAAACTAGGAACAAGAAGAGAGTGAGAGTAATGGAGACCTGGCCACATCAGATGATTATATTTCCTATGGTGGTTAACTTTATATGGGGGCATCTAAAAATATAAACATAAATTTCCATGTCCTACCTTTTGTATTTCTGATAATGCACTGATAGATAAATAATTAGAGAGGTATAAGTGAAATTTTTTGTTGTTGTTGTTTTTTTTTTGGTTGTACTGCGGATTAAATCCAAGATCTTTGAATTGAGCAATATCCACAGCCTTTTTTTTTTTTACTGGGTCTCATTATGTTTCTAAGTTGCCTGGGCTAGGCTGGAACTTCAGCCTCTCAGAGTGCTGGGATCACAGATGTGTGCCACCATGCCTGGCTCCAACATGTCATTTGTAAGAAGTACACTCACGGGATAAATGCTGTCCTCCATCAAAAACATGGCTGAAAACCTGCTGTATTTCATTAATCCAAAGCACATTATTTTTTCACCTTTTAAAGTCTCAAAACTTGAGATATGGGATACAATTGCTTTCTTCTATGGTGGTACATGAGATAACGTAGCCTCATACACTTTGGATGGCATGTGACCCTTGATGAGATAGGATGGGTATCTACTGCAGCTTCCTGGAAGGGCTTTCTTGGATGCCAGTGTGCCTGATAGTTTCTGTCTCCAGCAAAATGATTGCTATCAACCTTACTTCCCAGCTAATTACCACATTTAAAGGAGTTTTCAGATTTCTCTGTGCCAAAGAATAGCTTAGGTGTTGGGACTTCATGATTTAAAGATGGGAAAAAACACTTTCCAACTTATAGATATTCTTCTAAGTCACTGGGACTGACTTTCCCTTTTGTGCACTTCACCTCACCCTTGAGGGATGACCCTGACAAACCAAAGGCATCGAATTAACCTTAGAAATGTCCTGTTATGGGATGGCAGTTTACCTCTTTTCTACTGAGTTTCTGAGTTTTCTATGAGTAGGTATTACAGATCCAACCTTGGGCCAAGGCAGTCCTAAGAGTAGCATTGTCTTTATGGTACTTATTATCCAATGGTATACTTCACATATGTGCTGTTTGTTTGCCCATTTGTACTTCAGTAAAGCTTTTGGTTCAAAACAAAGTCACAGTTTAGAAAATGGTGACTGACGGTAATGGTAGTATGACACAGTGCATCAAAAACAAAGAAGCTTTGTCTCCCTGACATCCAGGAAGATGTCAAAGAGCAGGTTTCCCTGGAGCTTACTTGTACAGAGCCCAGAAGGAAGAAGGGAGTTTCCTAGGCAAAAACAGAACAGCGGGACCTCTATTCCAAGGGAAGGGAGCGAGGGCAGGGTCCTCGGGCTCGAAGCACTGGACCTTGGCCACCACCTCACCACTTTAAGCCCCAAGTTAGAATCATCTGCCTACACATCACCTCCATTCCTCATTTGCTGGGCTCCCTTCCCATCCCTCAAGGAACAGAGCCCTGCAGGCTTCATCCAGCTCCCAGAGGAGATGAAAATGAAAAGTTCACTGAGAGGACATCCACTTACAGGAGATGTTTGTCAGGGAAAGGTGGCCTTCAAAATAGAAGCTACAAGAATGTGGGTATCTGGGTGGGTGACAGGAGACACACAAATCGAAAGAACTTCATTGCCTGGCCCTATGGAGAAAGGAGCGCTTGTCTCCCTTCTCTGTGGACCCAGCTTGGCTCTGGTCTTTGAGGATAACAGACCTGCAATTCTGTGGGGTTCTGAGGCTTCACACTGGATCAGGAAGAGCTGTAGACATCAACTGCACACAGTGCCCTGTGGTCCTTAGCTAGGGAGAAACTTCTCAAGGTAGCTGACACCTCCATGAGCGAGCTGGTGACACACTGGCCAGGTGTCATTATGATTAATAATAGAACATCGTTTGTGCCCATAGAATGGTTCAGACTGGGGACATTGGGCTTTAATGAGCCAGTGTATTTGACCTAACATTTGTTAGTTGTAGGAACCACCCAGAAGAGAGCAGCTGGAAACACAAGATGGAATAGCAGAGCTAGAAGTTGATTTTATTCTTGCCTCTCCTACAGTGATTTTTTTTTTGTACCCGTAACTCTCTCTATCCATTTTCTGCCTTTCTCTCCACTCCCCGTGCAAAATAGAAATAATTAAAAAGTCATTAATTACACAGATATTTTAGTTAAAATTTGACATTTGGTGTGAATAGTGATCTCAGAGGATGTAATCATAATAATTTGGGCCACCTGTAAGTTTACCATTGGCTTTTTCCTGAAGAATCTGTGTCAACAGTCATTGCCAGAGTTTTAGGATGTATTGAGAAATAAAAAATTCTATTCCTCCAGCCATTAATGGGAGCAAACAGTCAGAGAAAATTTTCTTTTTTCTTTCTTTCTTTTTTTTTTTTTTAAGAATGAGCTGAATGTTGGAAACCATCTGTTTGCATCCTTGTAATAAGTTTCCTATCTAGGACAGTATGCCTCCAAAGGCCAGAGTGTACAAAGCAAAGAGTACAAACTAACATGGACTTATCAAAATTAGATCTAATTTGTGTTCAAATATCAACTCTAAATTAATGAAAACAGAAGGGAGACAGACAGTTCACCTGGAGAAATTAGCCATGGTTGTCTTCTTCATAACAGCGTCTATCCAAAACAGATCAGAGTCATTTTTGCAGATTATATTTTAGCACATGACTTTGGAAACAGTAGTTAATCTTCATATAACTGTTTGCAAAAACTGAGTCTCAGAGTAGAGTTAAATTTGGTCTTTTTCTTCTTATGAATAACCTCAAAAGAGGTTTACTAGGCACCTGCACATGACTCAGTCGGCCTCACAGAGCAGGAATCTTTTCCCTCTCCAATTTTCTCACCCAAATCCTACCCACAAACCTGTTTATTTTATACTATGCCAGAGGAATTTTTAAAACAGACATTAACTTTTAAAACAGACATTATTACTTGGATTTGAATGTGCCACAAGTCCCATTAAATGATGCTCCCTACCCCATAACAACTGTATTCATAAAGCAAAAATCTGGTAAAATATGTTAAGCCATATAATGGAAGTTAATTCTATTTCACTGGATTTTTGTTCCACATACCAGAATTACAAAGGAGTTTTGTTGGATTTTATGTGCTGCTACTAATTTTTTTACATTCTTACCATCTCAATTCATTCTTTATAACTCTCCCTTATATTTCATATTAAATGAGCATTTTGCAAGGAAAGAGGATGTGGATTCTAAACACAAAATTTCATATTTCATTTTAATATAAACCCCATTCAATCTCTACCTATTAACTAAACTTAAAATGCTGCCTATGACTGGATTTATGCAACTGTAGATAAGTAAATATTTGTAATAATTTTTCATCTACTGCCGTGAGATTAACACCAGTTGTTCAGTAAAGCATCCCTGAAGGGAAGGTTGTCAACCTCCTCTGCACAAATGTGATGGCCATAAAGGTGCATTTGATGTATGAATTAGATTCAAAGTCAATAATATATGTAATAAATGAGTAAATATATATAAGACCTAAGACCATAAACCTCATAGCAGAAGAGAGGATTAAATCTTCATGACTGTAGACTTTGCAATGGATTCTTAGATACAACCCAAAAGGCATAAGCAGCAAAAGAAAAAGGTAGACAAATTAAACTTCATCAAAATACAAAGCAGTTGATAATAACAGTCAACAAACTCATGAAGAAAGATGTGCAACATCGTTCATTTTTAGGAAAACAAATCTAAACCACAATGAGATACCAGTTTACATTCTCAAGGTGGGTTAGAATTTTCCTTAAATAGAAAATAACAAATATTGACAAGGATGTGGAAAAATTGGAACCCTTGTTCTTTGCAAAATGGTTCTTCTGCTCCTGTGGAAAACATTTTGGCAGTTCCCAAAATCTTTAACATAGTGTTACCTATGGCCCCAAAATTATACTTCTAGGTATATACAGAAAAAGGTTGAAAGCAAAGACTAGACAGGTGCACAAACATGGTCATAGCAGCCCTGTTGACAGCATCCACAGGGTGGACACCACCCAAACACCCATCAGCAAATGGTTATATATGGACACATACAATGTAAAGGTCAATCCATAGACACAGATGGAAATTGGTGATCACCAGGTTTGAGGGGAGAGAGGAAACTGGGACAAACTGCTTAATGGGTCAGAAGTTTTATTTTGGAATAATGGAAATATTTTGCAACTAGGTAGAGGTGGTTGTACAGCCCTGTGAATGTACTAAATGCTCCTGAATTGTCTATTTCAAAATGCCAATTTTATGTTATGTGAATTTCACCTCAATAAACAAAACAAAAAATCAATACTGAGAAATAAATGTGGTTGTGAACTGCATTCCCAAAATTGCTTTATAAGCACATTATTGTACATGTTTCTCATTACAATTTTTGGTAGTTATGAGCAGTGGATCAGTTCTGAATGACCAATAATACATCTTACATTCAACTTGGATTTGGAAAGTCAAAATAAGAAAATTAATTGATTTTTTTTTTCTTGTTATCCTTGTTTCAGGACTCTCAGCTGGTATCCTCTGGACACAATAACCCAAGTAAGAAATGCTTCTTTGCTGCTTTCTATGTGGGTGTGGTGGGGGCCTGGAAGAGGCAGAGAGGGAAGATGTGATAGACAGTAGTTTTAGAGAAAGTCGCTGAAAAACAAAACTGAGTGGGAAAAAGAGCCATTTGTTCAAGTACTGCCTGAACGGATGATAAGATTGAGAGTGATCTTGAGTGCTGATACGCAAAACATAAAATGAGGCATTTCAAAGTGATCCTAGGAGAAAGAAACATCATGTTTTAAGTCAGTCCCTAGTATATGTGAAGAGGGAAAAATTAAAAGGCAAATATTGCGCTGTCTAAATGAAAAGAAAATGAATAGGCAAACAAAAGCAGTCAGAAGACCTCAGATAAATGACCTTGGAATCTATCAAGAAAAGTCATAACTTGCTAGACAGGTGTGCCATTCCCCATTCCAGAAAAAGACAGGCTAGGCTCTTTAGGAAGTAGCTTCCTTCTGGAATCAGTTGCTAATAAAATACATGGGCTTTGTCATCAAAGAGAGGAGCATTCCATAAAATAGTGTTTTAATTCTCTTCTTTTTTTTTTTCATTTTATTGAGTTTATTGGTTCATTCTAGGTAGACAGTACAGTTACATTCATTACTGGGATCTTGTACCTTTACATGACAGGTCTTGGTTCTCATTTTTCCTCTTGTCCCTGACCTCCCTTCACCCCCTCCTCCCCTCCCCATTTACAAACACTTTATTTCCATTTTTTTATTTTCTCATATTTTTTTTCTTTTCCTTTATTCCCTTTCCCCTACCCTTCCCATTTTGCCTCCACCTTAGCAATGTGAAATAGGAAGAAAAGGGTTAATTCTCTTCTTTGCCACTACTAATTGGTATTAATGCAGTCAGGGGCATTAAAAATGCATACGCTGCCCTGTTCCCAGGCCGAGAGCAGGTCTTTGCTGGTTTCATGAGCACCAGAGAGTAGAGAGCGCCCTGTGCCAATTACAAAGCTGTGTCTGAAGATGAAGATCACCCTGAGCTAGGAGATAGACCTGTGGGACCAAGGCTCACCCACTGGGCATCTGTGCCTCAAGAACTGCAGAGAAAAGATGTTCAGACAAATACCTGTGGAAGCACAGCTAGAGAAAGGTGCAGGATAGATGGTGGCACCATGACACATGGGCAGAGTCACTGAGTTATCCCCCCTCTTCTGGGGTTTGCTGTGGGCTCAGGCACCAGGGAGAAAATTTTCTAAGGCAAGTTTCCCCTTGCTTTCTGAATACTCAGTAAGCTTCTACTTTATCATTAGGACATCAATTAGCCTATTGAATATGTAAACACTAAAATAGATGAAATGTGTTTATATTGTTAAAATTAGAACACCTGTCCAGGTGGCAGGTGAACATAAGCATGACTCCCTCATCCTTCAGAATCCCACTTATGAACCACAAAGCTATAGAAATGGAAAGAAATCCACATCAGCACTGAGAACATGAAAGTGTGCCATCAGCAAACCAGAAATTTAGCTGCATCTCTGGCAAGCAGAAAATACAGAGGAAGGCTACTGACAAATAGCCCTAAGCAGGGAAAGTCATAACCTAGCAGAACAAGAATCAAAGAGCAGTAAGCTGGGGGGTGGGATACAGGCTCTGGAGCCCCCAGGAGAGACTAGATGGCCAGTGGCAACACTAGGCCACACTTCCATGTTTACCTCCAAATCCTCATCCCAGCTGACTCTCACATAGAGCTTTCAGTCTGACTTTTCCTCCCCAAAAGTTCCAAAGAACAAAAGACACAGTGGTATCTGCTTTAAAAATGAACAGTCGACCAAAACTCCTATTTTGGAATTGATATATGAGAGAAACAATAGATTCTAAGGTAATACTGGACCTTAAAAAGAGACATAAATAAGTGGGGGAAGAAAAGTCAACTTTCTCAAGAGGGAAATAAAACTTCTACGAGTCCAAAGTAAAATACTTCTTATTTTGTTCTATTGTTTATTTTTTCAGTACTAAGAATTGAACTATCCTCACTGAGCTACATCCCCAGGCCTTTTGATTTTGATATTTTATTTTCAGAGAGGGTCTTGCTAAGTTGCTAAATTCCTGGGCTGGCCTCAAATTTGGAATCCTCCTGCCTCAGCCTCTCAGAATGTTGGATCATAGCATGTGTCATTACTCCTGGCTTATTTCCTGTTGGGGAGGCAGTAGGGTGGTTTTCCTAGAAGCTTCCCTGATCTTGCAGTCAACATGTTCTGTCTTCTTAAAAACCAGCCCTTTAAATCAACTATTCCCACCTGGGGCTGGGCATGGTGGCACACGCCTGTAATCCCAGCACTGGGGAGACTGAGGCAGGAGAATCACTGTGAGTTTGAGAACAGCCTGGGCTACTTAGTGAGTTCCAGGTCAGTCTCAACGACATAGTGAGACCCTGTCTCAAAAAACCAAAATAATTAAATAAATAAGTAAAACATCCTCCACAAGGAGTGTGTTAAAGGAATCAGTGAATATGCTAACACAGGAAAGCTGCACCAACCACCTTGTTTATCAACCTGTTATTCAAACATATAAATATGTAACCCATGAGCACCAAGAGGACTGGCCCCAGAGGGAACCTCGTTAATTCAAGAAAAGGAATAAAAAAGCTTCTAATGTAATTGTAATCTCCAAAAGATCAGAAGTGGTCTATGTTAAATAAAAACAGTGAACAAATGGTAGTAATTACTGAATAAACAAACACTTGAGAATTAAAAATAAGGTCGACAAAATAAAAAACTAATAGAACTTTATAAAAGGGATGAGTGATAGTTGAAGTCTAGAATGTGGGATATAGAGTTAAAACTGAAACACAAAGCCAGCTGTGGCGGCGCATACCTGTAATCCCAACAGTGGGGATGCTGAGACAGGAGGATTGCCATGAGGTTGCGGTCAGCCTGGGCTAGACAGTAAGTTCAAGGTCACCCTAGAATGTACAGTGAGATGGTTTCAAAAACAAACAGAAAAAAACACTGAAACAGATAGAAAACATGAAAGAGAGTTAAAAGGATGCACAGATGATGAGAGTGGGAAAATAAAATTCCAGCTAATGGAAATACCAGAAAAACAAAGAACTGCAAAAGAATAAATAATAATAGGAAGGAATACTATTCCCCGGAAAATGATATACTCACAGCAAAAACAGAAAAGACTTAATATAAAAGGAAGTAAGACTAAGTGCTAGAGAAAAAAAAATGACAGTGGAAAATCATAGTGCTCACTCAGATATTGGAATTATCAAACCTAGAATATAAGTGCCCTCACTTTAACTTCAAGAAATAGAAGAAAAGGTGAGAAATATGGTAACAAACAAAAAGATTTTAAGAAGTGTTAAATATAATTTCTAGAAATGAAAAAAATAGTAATAGAAACTAAAATTTCCATGGGCTGGTTTAAACAATGTATTAGACATAGCTGAATGAGAATTAATGAATTGGAAAATTGAATTTAAAAAAATTACCTAGAATGCAGTTTAGAGATACAGAAATAGAATATAGGACATGGAAGCTAAGAAGCATGAGGAGCAAAGCAAGGGAATCTTAATACACATCTAACCTGAGTTCCAGGAGGGTGGGAAAAGCAATAGGAAAGGACATTATGGCCAGCGTCTTCCAAGACTAGAGGATACTAATTCACAGATTCATAGCACCAAGTGAATACTAGCCAGGGTAAATGGCAAAGATTCACACAGACACACTACTCAAAACACATGCATAGAGGAAAAGCAACCTTAAAATACCCTTAGTATTTTCAAAAAAGGAACAAACTTCAACTGTGTGCCAACACCAGCAGTAGGAACCAAAGAGAAAAACAAAAACCATTAACTGAGAATTCTGCTCTTATTCTGTTTCTTTCTTACAAAAGAAAAAAAGTTAAAGAAGAGGATACTTTCAGGCAAACAAAAGTGGAAGAGTTTGCTACCATCAGACCCTTAAAAAATGAAATCTAAAAAGATGTGTTTTGTTCATGAGAAATATGAGCTGCAAGAATGATTGAACAGCAAAAAAAATAAATATAGGGGAAATCTAAACAATATTGTTGCATGAAACAATAATACACTGTGAGATAATAAAAATAAAAGCATGATAAGAATACACAAAAACAATAGCATAAAGTAAGAAGGAAAATTGCAAGTTAAAATCTAAGTTGCTATAATTATTTGGGAGAAGAGTAAAACATTAACTTTGGACTTTGACAAATTAAGTGAGAATTTACAACTTTTTGGATAATTACTAAACCATAAAAAAAGTGTTTAGCTTGCAAACAAAGTGTGTAAAGCATCTTACAGACCAAGATAAAAATGGAATGTGAAAATATGATCAGTTTATCCAAAAGAAGTAAATAGAAAATGAACAGACACATGGAAAGATATAATGTCATATATGAAATGAAATCATAATTTAAACAAATGGATTAGATTCTATGATTATATGGTATATATTGTCTAAATGAATTAAAAAATAAAACTCCAGGTCTATTTTGTTTACAGTGACACACTGAAAAATTGAAGATTCAGAAAATTTGAAAAAAAAGTATAGAAAAATATATACCAGGCAAATGTTAATGAAAAGAAAGATGATATATTTATCTTAATCCCAAAAAAATAAGCTGTAAACAAAAACATTACTAGAGGCCAGGGATTTAGCTCAGTGGTTCTGCTACCTGCCTCTCAAGCGCAAGGTCCCAAGTTTGATCCCTGGTACCAAAAAGAATAAAAAAACAAAAAAACAAAACTACTAGAGTAAAGAAGGGTACTACACAACAATGAAAAACACGGCTTACCATACAGATGAAAGAATTTTAAATAAGTAAATTCTGGATAACATAACTTCAGAATTTCAAAAGCAAAAATTGACCAAAAAACAAGGAAAAATCTACCTAATTTGGAGATAAAAACACAAATTAGCAATTGTAACATAATGCAAACAAAAAACTTAACAAAAGCTCATGACCCAGCAGCTTCAAGGTATGTTGTACTTTTAAGCAAACTGAAAACATTTATGG